CAGCGCGGGAGCTGAACGCTCGCAGGCGCGCCGCCAGGTCTGCGGGCGGCCCGCGGGAAAGAAACTCAAGGCCGGGGTCGCGTATCATCAATCGGTTGTCCATCGTCCAAAGTTGCACTGGCGACGTACTGGTTGAACGCGGAGCGAGCAGCATCACGCGCGTGCCTGAACGCCACGCAGGTACAGTGCACGCGCGATTGGGACTTCAGGTCGATCACGCGCGTCTCCACCAGGCTTGGCAACACCACGCGACTGAGGATCTCACTGCGGTCTGCCATGCTGCTGTCCGCGAATGCAATGCGCTGCCTGCAAGTAAGGCGGCGGCGTCCACTTGTCTCAGAAGATGTTCCCGCGGGCCCGAAGGGCGACCGCCAGCTCGAGCCGCGGCGCCGGCAGGCCAGATAAGGATCATGCAACAGCAAAGACGATGACAGAGCAACGAGGTATCGGCGAGTGCATGACCGGCCTCCGTTTCCTGCACTTCTTTCCTGTAGTTCCCCTAGCTCATCGAGCTCAGCAGATGTTTCTGCGGGTCCGAAGGACGACCGCCAGCTCGAGTCGCAGCGCCGACGAGCTGCATCCACATCAGGCAACACCCCAGGAGACACTGGCACACAACGATTTGACGTCAGTCAGTGCCAGACCACTCCATGTCTAGTTCCTCGCACACATACAGTCGATCGCAGATGCGGGATAATCGAAGTAGAATGACGGGTCCAATCTGCGTCCGCGTAGGACGTCACTATGCTGGACCCCGCAGCAGGTCTCGAAAGTGGCGACAGTTTCATGGGCCCCACAGCAGCCCTCGAAAGTGGCGACAGTTTCACAGATCGTAGCCCCCAGCGCTGGCGAGGTCTAATCTGAGTCCCCGTAGGACGTCACTCCGCTGGCCCCCCAGCAGCCTTCGAAAGTGGCGACAGTTTCACAGATCGCAGCCCCCCAGGGATGGCGAGGTCTAATCTGTATCCCCGTAGGGCGTCACTCCGCTGGGCCCCCCACGCAGCCTTCGAAAGTGGCGACAGTTTCACAGATCGCAGCCCCCCAGGGATGGCGAGGTCTAATCTGAATCCCCGTAGGGCGTCACTCCGCTGGGCCCCCCAGCAGCCCTCGAAAGTGGCGACAGTTTCACAGATCGCAGCCCCCCAGGAATGGCGAGGTCTAATCTGAATCCCCGTAGGGCGTCACTCCGCTGGGCCCCCCAGCAGCCCTCGAAAGTGGCGACAGTTTCACAGATCGCAGCCCCCCAGGGATGGCGAGGTCTAATTTGAACCTGCGTGGGTCACTCCGCTGGGCCCCCCAGCAGCCCTCGAAAGTGGCGACAGTTTCACAGATCGCAGCCCCCCAGGGATGGCGAGGTCTAATCTGAATCCCCGTGGCGTCACTCCGCTGGGCCCCCAGCAGCCTCGAAAGTGGCGACAGTTTCGCAGATCGCAGCCCCAGGGAGGGCGAGGTCTAATCTGAATCCCGTGGGGCGTCACTCCGCTGGGCCCCCCAGCAGGCCTCGAAAGTGGCGACAGTTTCACAGATCGCAGCCCCCCAGGGATGGCGAGGTCTAATCTGAGTCCCGTAGGGCGTCATCTCGAAAGTGGCGAGTTTCGCAGATCGCGCCCCCCTGGCGTCACGTCACTCCGCTGGCCCCCAGCAGGCCTCGAAAGTGGCGACAGTTTCACAGATCGCAGCCCCCCAGGGATGGCGAGGTCTAATCTGAGTCCCCGTGGGGCGTCACTCCGCTGGCCACCCCAGCAGCCTCGAAAGTGGCGACAGTTTCACAGATCGCAGCCCCCCAGGGATGGCGAGGTCTAATCTGAGTCCCCGTAGGGCGTCACTCCGCTGGCCACCCCAGCAGCCCTCGAAAGCGGCGACAGTTTCACAGATCGCAGCCCCCCAGGGATGGCGAGGTCTAATCTGAGTCCCCGTAGGGCGTCACTCCGCTGGCCACCCCAGCAGTCCTCGAAAGTGGCGACAGTTTCACAGATCGCAGCCCCCCAGGGATGGCGAGGTCTAATCTGAGTCCCCGTGGGGCGTCACTCCGCTGGCCACCCCAGCAGCCCTCGAAAGTGACGACAGTCTCGCAGATCACCGCCCCCCAGGGATGGCGAGGGGCAAGCTAGGTAAAAGGCAAGCGAGAAGAGGACGAGCAAAGAGAGGAGGAGAAGGGAAGCAAGAGAGGAGAGCAGGAACGAAGAGAGGAGGAGAGGGGGCGGGAGGAGTGGAGACCACAGTGCTCTATTCAAAACGAGAACCCAACGCAGGAGGGTTGGGAAAAAATACGCTGGGGACGATGTTTTAGCATTTTTTGACTATTGCGGGGCATCTTTAAAATATGTTTAATCCGTCGCCCAAAATCCGCCTGTGGGCGGACACGCCCGATTGATGGCTACTTTCGGTATCTGGGTGCGTGCGTTGTCGGGTTGAACAACATGGCGCGCTCCATTCGCCGTGGCCGGAAAAGGCCCCTTCGTTCCATATCTGGCCTTCCCCGTGGTAGCAGCGACTGTGCCGTCCGCCCGTCCCGCCCGGTAAGGCTTGCTCCCCAGTCCCTGTCGTCAGGGCGAAGCGACAGGGACCCCAGCGAAACGAACCGCCGCAAAACCGACCCGGCGGATCGAAGCTCTGCGAGAGAGAGGTCATGGCGGAACAAATGTTTGGCGAGAAGCTTTCCGGCGAAGACAGCCCTGGCGACGTGAAATTTTGGCGGGACGACGGACCGCAGCAGTTCGTGCAATTATCCTTGGAAGTCCTTCTCTGGCAGAACCAATCCGGCGAAGCGAATTTTGTCACGACGAATCCCTATCGAAAACGAGATGGGAAAAGGCGAGGAAGAGGACGATAATGATGATGATGACGATGTTGATGACGATGGCGATGGCAATGATGATGATGATGAGGCTGAACGTGATGATGTAGATGATGATGAGGATGATGATGATGATGATGATGGTGATGATGATGATGACGATGACGATGATAATGATTATGATGATGATGACGATAGTGGGGATAATGATGGTGATGGTGATGGTGATGGTGGTAATGGTGATTGTGATGGTGATGATGACGATGAGGATGATGATGATGATGATGATGGTGATGCTGGTGATGGTGATGGTGATGATGATGATGACGATGGTGGTGGAGATGATGATGTTGATGACGATGGTGATGATTATGATGGTGATGATAGTGGTGATGGTGATGGTGATGATGATGGTGGTGGTGATGATGATGGTGGTGGTGATGGTGATGGTGATGGTGATGATGATGGTGGTGGCGATGATGATGGTGGTGTTGATGGTGATTGCGATGATGATGATGAGGAGGAGGAGGAGGATGTTGTCGTGACGATGGGGATGAGGATGATAATGAGAATGATGGGAATGAAGATGAGGATGAGGATGAGAGTGATAATGTTGGTGGTGTAAGTAGACGAAGACGATTTCGATCATGGTGATGGTGATAGTGATGATTATGGTTGTAAGTATAACTTGATGATGGTGCTGAGGAAGATGGTGGTGCTGAGGATGATGATGAAGAAAAGGAATACGATGATGATGATGATGGTGATGATGGTGATGAGGATGATGGTGAATATGTTGGTGATGATGGTGGTGATGATAGTGATGATGGTGGTGATGGTGCTGATGATGAGGATGATGGTGGTGGTGATGATGACGGTGGTAGTGATCATGACGATGGTGGTGATGATGATGGTGGTAGTGATCATGATGATGGTGGTGGGTGATAATGCTGTTGATGATGATGATAGTGGTGATGGTGGTGGTGGTGGGTGGTGGTGATGGTGAGGATGATGATGGTGGTGTTGGTCATGGTGATGGTGATGATGATGGTGGTGGCGGTCGTGATGTTGATGATGGTGGTGATGGTGATGGTGATTGTAATGATGATGAGGAGGAGGAGGAGGAGGAAGAGGAGGATGATGGTGGTGGTGATGATGATGGTGGTAGTGATCATGATGATGATGCTGGTGATGATGATGCTGATGATGATGATAATGAAGATGGTAATGGTGGTGGTGGTGGGTGGTGGTGATGGTAAACAGGAGGAGGAGGAGGAGGATGTGGAGGTGGAGAAGGTGAAGATGGATAAGGAGGAAGGGGAAAACAGTGCCTGTAGGAGACGTAAGAGGAGGAGGAGGAACTAGAGAGGAGAACTTGGAGAGGAAGACGCGGGGGCGCGGCAGCTCTCACAGCCCCTGGCCAGACCCGCTCCCCTGGTGAAACGCGGGCACGGCCGAGACGGCACTGACGGTCTGGCGAGACGAGCCGGCGCTGGGCGCGCGCCCGACGCGCGGCCGCATCCAGGCGCCGCGGGGCAGACACGCATGCCGGAGAGACAGATAGACCTCGACATCCGGCGTCTCGAGGAGGAGGAGGAAGAGGAGGAGGAGGAGAAGGAGGGCCCTCAGGGCCCTTGCCGGGCAGCGGGGCCGAGAAAGCGTCGATCCGCGAGGAGAAAACAAACCGGGGCTGGGAAGCGGTCGAGAGGTCGGAGGCCCGCGTCTCGAAGGCAGCGAGAGGCGCCGGGTGTCCCGGGGCGGGTGGCGCGCGGAGGCTCTCCTTGGGCAGCGCGGTGCCAGGGCATCCCGCGCGGCAACGCGGGGGGAGGGCTGGGGTCCTCCTCCGCCTCCTCCTCCTCCTCCTCCTCCTCCTCCTCCTCCTCCTCCTCCTCCTCCTCGTCCTCCTCCTCGTCCTCCTCCTCCTCCTCCGCCTCCTCCTCCGCCTCCTCCTCCTCCTCCTCGTCCGCCTCCTCCTCCTCCTCCGCCTCCTCCTCCTCCAGGGGGGCGGAAGGCATGGAGGGGGAGCGAAGAGGGAGAGGTGGAGCGATGCAGCGAGGTAAGAAAAGCATCTTCACGAGGCGCAGATCTGGGCCGTGGCGGGCGCAGGCGCGCGTGCAGCAGTCTCTCGCAAAAAGCCTTGTCTCGCACTGCAGCTCGCGGAGAGCGGGGCGCGGGCCAGCGGCGGCAAGCCCTCCGCCACGAGGTCTCCTGAAGCGCAAGCGCCAGGACCTGGACGACGCCATCGACTGCGACCGCGCAGGCAGACCTCCCCCCTCCCACCTTGAAAAGGGGTCCAGGGGCATGGAGTGCTCGGCATGGTGCAACAAGGAGGTTGCATTTGAGACGCGTTTTATTCCTCATATGTAGTGCCACCCGTGTTCTGTTGCTCCCTGATCTTTATAAGATTAATATATATATATATATATATATATATATATATATATATATATATATATATACAAATTTACAATATACATATATATATATATATATATAAAGTCCCCTCGTCGCGAACAAGAGCCCCGACGGGCGGCTTGGCACCATCTCCTGCCTCTGGGGGCCCTCGCCAGGCCCCAGGACCGTCCAGGAGCGACGCGGGAGGAAAAAGCCCGGTCCCGTGCCAGGGGCCCAGATCTCGGGTGGAGCCAGTCGGCGCCGTGAGGCCCAGGTCGAGAACGCGGGCCTCCTCCTCCTCCTCCTCTCCTCCTCCTCCTCCTCCTCCTCCTCCTCCTCCTCCTCCTCCTCCTCCTCCTGGTATATTTGGTAGGTCCTTTCTAGGGCATCCTCGAGGTTTCTCCGTCGAAAAACAAGTCCAGTCGGACCCCGGCAGCTGTCCGGGACCGATCTGGATCAGCTTGCGGGTAGCGGGGCTCAGCGCAGACAGGGCTCAGCCAGAGCGCTGGATCCTGCAGGGCAGGGCAGGACGCAAACGCTGTTTGGCTGGACTTCGGCTATGTTTTGTTTTCGTTTTGGCAGGGAGGTACAGTAAAACAGGTAGAGCAAATCGAAAAACAAAACGAAAACAAAACGAACAACAACGTTTCGGTCTAGCCCTGGGTCCTGCCAAGCCAGATTTGGGCTGAGCCTCGCTTGGGAGCCGCTCGCGACCTTCGAGGTGGCCTTACATATTGACTGAGCCGCGTTTGGGAAGGCCCTCCCCCCCAAAAAAAAACTGTGTGGGGGCAGATATCGAGTCCCGCCCAAAACGAGACATAGAGATATCGAGATATCGAGATCGACCCCCCCTCTGCCTCGGTTCACACGCCCGCTGGGCCCCCACACTGCAGCGCTGTTCTTCCAAATTGACTGAGCCGGGTTTGCGCTGAGCCGGGTTGATCCACGCCCGATTTCGAGCGGTTTTTTTACCAGCCTCGACCGTATCCCTATCCTTAAGATTGACACGCCAAAAGGCGATGACAATCTTAGGGATTCGCCCTCAAAAAATACGGAAATCCCTAAGATTGGCATCGTGATGAGGAGGTGCCCAGCATAGGGATAGGGATATGCTCCAGGCTGGTAAGATTTGGGCTGGGCGGGAAGGCCGTCGTTGTCTCGGCCAGCCCTCGTCAGGCTGCAGGGGAGCGGGGGGCGGGCACGGCCGAGCCCGATCGGCAGGTCAGCCCTGCAGTATCCTGGGTGCCGTCGTGTTTTGCCTATCGCGCTTTCGTGCCCTCGTGACGTTTGGGGTCGCTCCGAGTGGCGCCGCAGGGAAGGAGGTTCAGCAAGCGATCTAAAAAAAGTCTGTCTGCGGCCGGCGGTGGACACGGCCTACCGTGTCGGGGCACCCTGCACCTCTTCCCAGCCTCGCGCATCGCGCCAGGGCGGCGTTGGAGGCGCCACCGGGGGTGTTCGGGCGCGTGCACGGGGACGGGGTGAGGTCCAGGTGTGTGTGTGTGTGTGTGGTGTGTGTGTGTGTGTTGTGTGTGTGTGTGTGTTGTGTGTGATATGTGTGATGTGATGTGTGTGTGTGTGTTGTGTGTGCTGTGTGTTGTATGTGTCGTGTGTGTTGTGTGTGTGTGTGTTGTGTGTGCTGTGTGTGTTGTGTGCTGTGTGCTGTGTGTTGTGTGTTTGTGCGTTTGTGTTTATGTGTGTTTGTGCGTTTGTGTGTGATGTGTTGTGTGTGTGCTGTGTGTGCTGTGTGTGCTGTGTGTTGTGCGTTGTGTGTGTTGTGTGTTGTGTGTGCTTGTGTGTTTGTGTGTTTGTGAGGTTGCGTGTTGTGTGTTGTGTGTGTTTGTGTGTGTGTTGTGTGCTTGTGTGTGTGTTTGTGTGCTTGTGTGTTTGTGTGCTGGTGTGTTGGCGTGTCGAGGTGTCTGTGTGTGTTGTGTGTATGTTGTGTGGTGGTGGGTTGGTGTGTGTGTTGGTGTTTCTGTGCTTGTGTTTGTGTGTTTGCGTCGGCCCATCCTGCGACCGTGCCTGCGTTGTGGGGCATATGCCTCCAGGATGTTCGTTGGGATGTCGCGGATGGCCTCTCGGGGGCTTCCTGGGGGCCGTTGTGAAGCTTCCTGGGGGCCGTTTGGGGGGTTGCGGGAGCGTCTTCGGGCCTCTTGGGGGTCTCTTGGGGCCTCTTGGGGTGGGGCCTCCTTGGGGGCCTCCTGGGGGCCTTTTGGGCAAAGGACCTGGGGACGCGCCCACTCCGTGCCCAGCGGCACGAGGGCGGATTCTAGATATACGTATACCAGCATACAGGGTCGGCGGCTCGAGCCATGTGCCGCGACTCTCCGTGTGAGCTCTGGGCTTCCGGGACCTCCCTCCGGCGGCCCCCGAGGCGTTCCAGACGGCCCACAGACGGGCCAGGAGAGCTCCCAGAGGCCCGCAAGACGATCGAAGAGCGCCCCCGACAAAAGATCTCAGCAGGCATCCTGACGGCCCAACAGGCCTCCAAGACGCCCCAAGATGCCTCCAAGAGTACCCCCACAGGAATCCCGAGAACCGCAAATCATTGATTTCCTTGGCTTTTACAGAAAAGGTATCCGCCTTTCCGGTTTCTCCACGCTCCCAGACGGCCCGAGAGGCCCCCAAGGTCGCCCCAGGACCGCGTCAAACGCCCCCCAGAAGGTGCCAAAGCAGCCCTCAGGGGCCCAAAGACGGCCCCCGAGGCGCCCCTGAGGTGTCCCAGACGGCACCCAGACGGACCGAGATAACTCACACAGCCCCCGACACCCTCTAAGAACGCCCCCAATCGCAAGCAGCGGCGCTCAACATGCCACAGGGGCCTCCCCACGGCCCGAGTGGGCCTCCCAGGCAACCGAAGATGCCTCGCAGAACACTGCCACGAGGGCCCGCGCGGCCAACGGGGGTGCTCCAGAGAGCTCAGCACCGATGCAAGTCAAGTCACGCCAGAGAGCGCTCGCGCGACGATGACGATGATGACGGCCATGCTGGTCATGATGACGGCGTTCGTATGGATGACGACGGTGATGACGAGGGTAATGGTGATTATGATGATGATGGTGATGATGATGATGGTGGTGATTATGATGATGATGATGCTGATGATGATGCTGCTGATAATGATGATGACGATGATGCTGCCGATACTGATCACGATGAGGATGTTGAAGATGAGGAGGAGGAGAAGGAGGAGGAGGGTGAGGATGAGGATGACGATGACCATGACGAAGATTATGATGATGATCATGATGATGATGTTGATGATGCTTCTGGGGATTATGATGTTCTGAATTGCTTCGGTGACGATGGTCGTGACGATCAGGACCTTGACAGTGATGATGAATATGATGATGTGTGCTCTTCGATGCAGCCATCGCACTCGCTTGTGGACCCCCACCTGCAAAGCACTAGAACTTCAGCGCGCGCGAAGCGCGCGCGCCGGTTTCTAGTACACACCTACGTACATACATACATACATACATACATACATACATACATACATACATACATACATACAGACTTACATGCATACACGCATGCATGCACGCATCCATGCATGCATGCCTACATACATACAGACATGCATGCATACACATATGCAGGCATACATGCATACACGCATATATACATACATACATACATACATGCCTGCCTGCATAGATACACATATACATGCATACATGCATACATAGATATATGCATACATACATACGCACACATGCAGACAACAAAAACTATACATACATACGTACATATATCTATACATGCGCACATACATACATGCATGCATGCATACACACATACATGCATGTATGCGTGCATACAAACCTGCACACACCTACATGCATTCATGTATGCATGCATGCATGCATGCACGCATACATGGATGTATATATACATATATACATGCACGCATACCTACATACATACACATACACATGCATGCATGATTACATAAACACGTATATATACGCATACATGCGCACACATACATACAGACAAACATACGACATACGTACGTACATACATATACACATGCGCAGCTACATACATACATGCATGCACACATACACGCATGAATGCATGCAAGTCTATACATACCTACATGCGTACATGTATGCATACATGCATACATGCATGTACGTATATACATACATACATAAATACATACATACATACACACATACATACATACATACATGTATATGTGCACATACTCGTATATGCATACATGCATATACGACTATATGCATACACGCGCATACATGCATACATACATATATATATATATACGTGCATGCATGTATAGACATACACCTTTAAGCACGCATACACATACGCATACACATTCACTTGCACATTATACATACATGCCGACATACCGAGAATTCGACATACCTGCATGTCTACATACCTACATGCATACATACATGGTATTTGCATGTGTATGTATACATGCGTGTGGATATAAATACATGTCTACATCTGCGCATAAATGTATACTCATCTCATGGCCTTCGGTCCAGCCCGCCACCGATGCATGGAATGGCATTCGACCCATCCCGTCATTGTGCCTGGGCTGTGGGTATGAAGTCCATCGGTGTTCGTTGGCATCTCGTGGGAGGCCTCTTTGGGGGGGGGCTCTTGGAGGCAATTGTGAGGCCTCGTGGGGCTCGTTTTGATGCATAGTGGGGCCTCTTTTGGACCTCTTGGGAACCTCTTGGGGGCTCTTGGGGGCTTCTTGGAGGCCTCTCGGGGCCTTTGGGGTGCCTCTCGCGGCGTCCTGGAAGCCTCGTGGGGCGGAAGGCTCGGATGTTCGGTTCGTGTTCCCTCTCTTGGGCCCCGTGTGGTGCCGTCGCGGGGCCCTCTTGGGCCGTCTTGGCCGCCTCGTGAACCGTTTGGGGGCGCTCTCAGGCCGCCTTGGGGCCCTCTTAAACGACCTCTTCGGCCGTCTTGAGGTGATCTCGGGGGTCTGTTGGGCCGCCTTGGAGCGTCGGACAACAGGAAAGGCGAGAACGCCAAACTCGTTCAACAACCAGACGGGGATCAATGATGTTGGCCTCTTGGGGCCCTCTTGGGAGGCATCTTGGAGGCCCCTTGGGGCGTCTTGGAGGCCTCTTGGGCCGTCTGGGAGCCATTTTGCCCGTCTTGGAGCGATCGTTCGGCGACTCGGGGCCCTCTTGGACCGTCTTCGGGGCCTCTTGGGGCTCTCTTGGCCGGTGTTGGGGCCCTCTTGAAAAAACCAGAGTCGGCATTCCGAGATTCGGCCAGGGCGATCAAAAGTTTGAGCACACGTGAGAACCCACCAGACCTTGGCATAAAGTAAGAGCATCAGCCCATGCTGAATCGAGGCGCTGTAGATGCTTCAGGCGTCCAACCTGTGGCTGGAGAGTAAGACGTCGAGCCAGGTGGGGATCTCATGCGAATACGTATGCGCAGCTAGCCCGTCGGACCGACTTGGCAGGTGTCGCCGAGAACTGTTTTGGAGTCTAGCTTCCGATGCGGTTCCTGGATGATTACGGCAACTGCATGGGGATCCGCACGTAGGAGGCGGATCAGGCAGCAATTGACGCCTACGACAGAGGTGAAGGTATACCCGCGAGGGCAGGTGGCACCTTTACCTGCTGTGGCACAGTGTGATGCGCAACAGGAAGTTGGGAGCTGAAGCTGAAGTTCCCAAACCCCATCTCGATGTGTGCGAGCATGGCACTTTCGACGAAACCCACATACGATTCAGCACCCACTCTCTGCCATATCGAGCAAGGGACCCACGAGCGCGAACTAGTTAGGTGTTTATCTTGACAGGTTGTAGCTGAGACGCATTACCGTCGCACACGGTTGCCAGCCGAGGCCAATAATTATGTAACGAACGTAAGTACAGAATTGATGCGTGTTGGCGCTGGAACGCGCAACTCGTTTTCTCATCATCGCTACCATTAGCCTCCTTCAACCGTTTCCCTATACTATATTTGCGTGCTTGCCTTCTGTCTGACTTTGCACAGACATATTTAAATCGCATTGAAAAATGCGCTTACGCATGGGCTGACCAACATACATTGCTCAACTGACTGACTCCAGCCAATGCGGGGCAGGTGGGTTAATTCTTCGGTGTGCAAGACATGTTCTGTGATATTCAAATCATCTCCCGTATGACCCCATCGTACCGTATACAATGACGAGCCAGCATACAACGCTATACCTTCGTGAGGCGGTTTTCAGATACAGTCTAGGTATGTGGGACGCGTTACTAAGGCCCGCAGGTGTCTTTGAGCGGCTAAGAGACGGGGGCCGCTTGCGCTAAGTTGCCCGCGTGAGGTCGCGCATAAGCGCCCCAATGTTGCCTCGATGTGCCTGGTTCGCCCGTGGCCCGCGCAAGCCACCGCGTAATGCCGCAATGCCCTCGTGCGCACGACCGCTTCCCGTCAGAGGAAGGGTGGATGGTTCGGCTTTCGATCGTGGACCCCTTGAGAAGTGCAGCCGCCCAGCTCGCGCGCGCACGGCCGCAGAAGACGCCCAGAAGAATGGCGAGGACCGCCAGAGAGCGACGGTTGCCGCCGGATGGTCGCCAGTTGCCGCTGAGGTCAGATGGTCACTTCTGAGGGCAAACAGAGTCTGTGCCTCGCTCTGGGGGCGGGCCGCGCTCCAGCTCCTCCTCCTCCTCGAGCTCCTCCTCCCCTCCTCCTCCCCTCCCCTCCTCCTCCTCCTCCTCCTCCTCCTCCTCCTCCTCCTCCTCCTCCTCCTCCTCCTCCTCCTCCTCCTCCTCCTCCTCCTCCTCCTCCTCCCAGCATGGGCGACACCGCACGAGTCCACCGCCACCGAGAACCCCTCCGGGAGGGATCTACCCGTGGGCGGGTGCGACGCCCGGGCGTGCCAACGCACAGGGGTCGCCCCTCCCCCCGATGGAGTCTCGGTGGCTCCAGATCTCCGACGTCGTGACTTTGCCAAGCGCGGACCCCCTGAGGTCTAGATCCTTCCCTGGGACCGGCTCTTCATCTTGTGCAAAAGGCGTTGAACTGCGGGATAGGAACCTGGGTTTTGTCTCTATCGTTTCTCTCTCTCTCCCTCTCTCTCTCTCTCTCTCTCTCTCTCTCTCTTCTCCTTCCGCCTCCTGACGTAGTATTCGTCGCTGGCCAGGCGCTCCTCCAATGCACGCTGCGGCGGGGCCTTGCTGTAGTGCTGTGTGCAGAGCCCGTGGGTGGTGTTGTCGTCGTCGCCAGACGAACTTGGAAAAAAAAACAAACAAAAAAAAAAAAAAAAAAACCTGGGACCGGCTCTTCATCCCGACATGTTTTCTGACGGTCCCGGGGCCCTGCGAGGGCCCCTGGAGGCCGAAAAGTGGCCGCCAACCTCGCGACGCGATGTTCTCGCAAGACGAGGAGGCGGCTTTCGTCACATAGCTCAGGTTCCCGGCGGCCTTCCGAGACGACCCCGGCACCCCCGGAGCGCTCTCTGTGGAGCGCAGCTGCTGGAACCCATCTCGAGGCGGGAGGAGCCGCCAAGAACCGTCGAACACGCCGGAGAGGCCTCGCGAGGAGGCGGAGAGGCGCTCGAGACCTCTGAGCGACCACGGGGTGCCCCCGCGAGCAGCAAAGGGTCTATACGATCGAACGCGTGGGCGGGGGCTCGGAGCGGAGGCCCTGCCACAAGTCTTAAGTCGAGCGTGTCCCTCTACAGTCGGAGGTGGACAGAACCCCCAACAGTGACACGTCGATTAGTGAATTGTCCGCTTTCGGTTCTCGAGAGGGCGCCGTGGCCGTTATTTTCCAGGCCTGCGCCCGCCAGGTTTGGGCCTCAGGTCGTTTTCACTAAACCACGTTTTACTAAAGGGAGGTCTGTCCATCCCCGATACAGGAGGAATATTCTGAACTGGTCAGAAAAAATAGCCTGGGGACGATATTTCTGCTATGTTTGAGCATGTTTGAACATTTTTTGGTTCTTTTTCATTTTTCGTCCAAAATCCGCCTGTAGGGGGTTATGACCGACCTAGCACTGGAGGACGATCAATGGAGGGGAACCATGTTGCCAAATAATTGCCAGATGCCCCAAACATGGAGGGAGAACAAAAAAATGTCACAGCACATGTAACAAGCATGTTGGAACCACGTTTCGAAGATTATTCCTATATGTTAATCACATGTTAAATTAATCGGGAGCGGAAAAGAGGGGGGTGATGATTAGGGGGGGGATTTCATGGCGCGGGCCTTGATTTTTCCTCAGATTTCATGGCGCCTTTTCTTATTTCATTACGTCCCAGCCCCCCCCGCTGGGCCGCGCACGTGCCGCCAGTCATGATTTGCACCCCCCCCCCTCTTGGACACCCCCCTCTTGGCCGCTCCCGAATTCAATGATGGGACTGTTAGGGTGTCCATCTGTCGTGGCATCCACAAACCATTGCCAGATGCCCCAAACATGGAGGGAGAAAAAAATGTTTCAACACATGCAAAAAAACATGGTGAGACCATGTTCAGAACATCATGCCTACATGTTAAGCACATCTTAACCTCAATGATAGGACCGTCAGGGTGCCCATCTGTCGCGGCAGTCACAAACCCTGGTTTACGAGGCGCTGTGCGCTGAAACTCCTGTGGGCTGACAGGGTAAAACCTGCGTGATGCGCCGCGTCCTGGCGGCTCTAGGCTTTGGCGGTTCCCAGGAGGTTTACAGACCACGCACTTGTAACCCAGGGTAGGGTCGTTTTTTCGTCCCTCAATGTTAGGGTGCCCATCTGTCGCGGCAGCCACAAACCCGGCACGAGCCGAAAGGTGTATCCCCAGAGTGTTTAGAGCACCTCAGCAGGCATCCGTTCAGAGTCAATCCTCCTCCTCCTCCTCCTCCTCCTCCTCCTCCTCCTCCTCCTCCTCCTCCTCCTCCTCCTCCTCCTCCTCCTCCTCCCTCCCTCCCTCCCTCCCTCCCTCCCTCCTCCTCCCTCCCTCCCTCCCTCCCTCCCTCCTCCTCCTCCTCCTCCTCCTCCTCCTCCCCCTCCTCCCTCCTCCCCCTCCTCCTCCCTCCCTCCCTCCTCCTCCCTCCTCATTCATCTGTCGTGGCAGCCACAGACCCGGCACGAGCCCGCGGCGCCCAGGCCCCGCCGGAGCCGGCGCGGCGGCTCGCCGGCACGGGTGCCTCGAGGGCCTGCCGCGCCCCGAGCTGGTGCGGCTGGCGCAGGACGGGCCGCCGGCGGGGGGGGGGGGGGAGGGCGGAGGAGGGGAAGGAGGGGGGAGGGGAGGAGAGGAGGAGGGGAGGAGGAGGAGGAGGAGGAGGAGGAGGAGGAGGAGGAGGAGGTTGGACCTCAGGGTGCCCCCTCGAGGGGGGGGGGCAAGGCCCACGACGGCCAGACAGCCGGCGTCTGGGGAGGAAAAGGAGACGGGGATGTTTCAAGTTAGGTCGGGAGCCTCGAGACGGGGGTCAGTGCAAACGCGGGTCAGCCAGAGCGCCCCGACCTTGCAGGATCCTTCAGGGCCAGGGTCGCATTGAGCCGGGTTTGGGTGCAGGATCTTGCAGGATCCTGCAGGATCTTTCGCATTGACCCGGGCCTGGGTGCAGGATTTCGCAGGATCTTGCAGGACTCTGCAAGGCCTGACTGACCCGGGTCTGGATTGACCCGGGTCAGCAGGTCCCCGACCACGACGGCCAGACATCCGGCGACTGGGGGAAAAAAAGGAGACGGGGCTTTTCCAATGTAGGTCGGGCGCGTCCTCCCTGCAGGGGGGCTTTTGAGGAGAAATGAGGAAGAGTCACGACATGATCAGAGAGGATCAAGAATGATCAAAAAATTATCCCCAGACGGAGTTTTTCAATTTAGGTCGGGCGTGTCC